AATAATTTTGCAATATTTGCCAGCAATCTCACATGATAAGTAAACAGTTACACATTCCTCACCCAGGGACAAATGTTGCCCTCTCCTCCATGGATGCCTGGGTCACTCCATGCAGCAGAACTGATGTAGTTCTATTGTGCAAAGTATGGGGCATGATTTGGGTGGGCCATTGGACAGGGGATGTGAACCCATTGCATGTGGTGGAGTTCAGTCATATTTCCTCACGCAGACTTCTTATCTAATCTAATAAACTATGCAAGGTGGAAGTGGATCAGTATCTGGTTTCATATATCATAGAGTTTAAGGCCAGAAAGTACCATTAATCACCTCATCTGACTTTCTGTATATCACAGGCTATTAAGTTTCACCCAGTTATCTCTGTACTGAGCCCAATAATTTGTTTGACTAAAGCATGCCTTCCAGAAGGGCATCCAGTCTTGATTCGAGGACATCAAGAGATGGAGAATCCACCATTCCCTTTGGATGTTTGTTCCTGTGGTTGATCACTCTCACTGTTAAAAATTTATGCCTAGTTTCTAATTTGAATTTGGTCTGGCTTCAGCTTCCAGCTACTGGTTCTTGATATGCCTTTCTCTGCTAGACTGAAGAGCCCTTTAGTACCTGGTTTGTTATCCTGGATACCTTTGCTAAATTCCAACCCAGGTAATTATGTTTTGTCTTGAAAAATTCTTACTGCAACTATGTATTTGCAGTCAGTTAGTTAAAAGGAAAACTGACAACTTGAAATCTAGTCAGTTAAAGAAAAGACAGAGAGAGAGAGGATGCTAAAAGTAGTTTCAGGTTCTTCACATGCTCCTGAGTCCCTCTTCCTGCCATTTTTGGGGGGTTTTACAATCATATTTTCCAATTTAAAAATATTTTTCTCTTCTCTTCTGCTGTTGGAAAGACTCAGACAAATAATAGGGGAAACTAAGTAAGGCCCCAATCCTGCAAATTTATGTATGTGCTTAATTTTAGGCTTTGACTTCAATGGGAGTACTCCTGTAAGTTAAGTTAAGCACAGGCTTTAAGTTAAGTGCTATGCTGGATCCAGGCCTCAATGTAGGGACATTGAAAGTGATTGCCCATAAAGTACAAAATCTGAAAAGAAAAAAAAGAAAAAAAGAAAAAAAATACTCTAATCTCTTTCAGGTATAGTAATCCTCAGGGTAAAATATAATTTAGTAAATAAACAATTTCAAACAGAATTGTGATTAAAAGTTGACTGTGACCTTTTACATTTGCAAACCACTTTAGATCCTGGAGGATGAAAGATACTGTAGAAAAAAAAATTATGATTAGAAAGAATTTTTTTTGGGGTGTTCAAAATAAATTATTTGATAGGGAACAATGTGCCAATTGGGAAAATAATTCCCCTCCTTGCTTTAATTTTTTAAGTGCCACTTTAGCACTTAAAAAAAAAAAATACTCTAGACCTCTGTCTTAGCACAAGTTATATACTACACCTCTACCTCGATATAACATGACCCGATATAACATGAATTCGGATATAACGCGGTAAAGCAGCGCTCCGGGGGGACGGGGCTGCACACTCCGGCAGATCAAAGCAAGTTCGATATAACGCAGTTTCACCTATAACGCAGTAAGATTTTTTGGCTCCCGAGGACAGCGTTATATCGGGGTAGAGGTGTACTTCGCATTTTTTACAGTTTGTTTAACAAGACTCAAGCATGGAACATTCACATTAGTACTAATTTCAGCTATGGAAAGGGCAATGATTTATTAGGCAAATGGGAGCAGCAAGGACTAGCTGGCTGTGTGAGAACACAAGGCAAAAGGGAACGTGTGTAAAGGCAGTTTGCGCCTTTGGCACGTCCCAAAGCACAAGATGGATGGAACCAATGATAGACCCGAGAGATTAACACTTCAGTATAGATTATACACACAAATGGTTGCCTCTACTGCAGTCCTTAAAATAACATCAATACCAACTATGCTCCTATGTGGGATAAACTGAACTTCGCACAACTATTAAGTTATAGTGAAAAAAATGTCTTTACATGAAACTTGTCACTTTAAATCACGACTTGATGATATCTTAACTCACAAAATTCATATTGAGTCAGGATATAATGTTATAGTACATTGGAAATATCTTTGCCCTGTGAGCCAGGACTCAAAAGGTGGTAGGTAAGCTTTAAGCAGTAATCTCAGCATACCAAAAGAATTCAACACATATATTCCGATAAGAAGAAGAAGAAGAAGTCAACAGAAGGTTTTTATACATCAGACAGTCAAATTTCAAGAAGGACAGTTGTCTTCAACAGCAGCTGTGTAAATTAATGCTGTTAGTATAGCAAAATTGTAAAATAATGCCCTTCTCCTTTGAGTATTACATAATAATTATGCAACCTTTTTAGGACCCTTGGCATTTTACTATTACTGTCCTTAATAAGAGGCACTACTATAACCCTCCAAGTAGTTCTATATATAAAATTCCAAGATGTTCTTAAGCAGCCATATTTTGGGTAGCTTAGGGAGTAGTGTAGGGAAAAGGTACAATATAGGGTCCACAGAGGAGAAAGTTTACTGTACTCAAGGAGAGAGATGACAAAGGATTTGTCCAGTAATCTTTTCAGTAGGAATGGAGAGGAAACAATGGATTAAATAGTCAAACACTCTGATACAGCCTAATCCTGTGAGGTGATATACAACCCTGCTGGGGCACTGAGCTCCTTTAACTTGCACTATAATGAGAATTTAGGATGCTCAGCACTTAGCAGGTTTGGGCCCATAGTAAAGTTTTTATAATTTATATACTTTTATATATTTGTATTTTGACATTAGAGATGGGCCCCGAACTGATCTGAATCCACCTTAATTATGAGGAATTTCAAATCCTGATGCAATCCAAACAACATATATTGGTCCTCTCTCTATAATCAACCACACTGGAATGCAAGATCTGAATGCTGTGTTGTTTGGTAAAGTTTGGATCTAGATCTGAACTCTGTGGCGTGGGGCTCATCTGCAGTTTAGATTAAAAAACAAAAATTAAGAATGTTGCAGTCACTTCTGCTAACAGGAATGAGCCTCACAAGAATTATCTGAACATGTGTTTAAGATTGTGTTATGCCATCTTCATTTTATTAACATTGACGTCTCCTACAAGAGTCAGTGCAATTATGGCCGTTTAAATATGGTCCTTCAACCATGTACTTAATTGTGGTTGGGAGAAAGTGCGGCTTATCCAAACACACGTACAGTTCCATTCTGAGCTTAGAGTTATGTATCATGTTAAAAGGACTGGGACTGTTCTTTTCATTGCACTGTGGTTCTTTCACATTAATAAATCACACCAGAGTTAGAATGCATATAAGGGAGCGCACAAGACTAAAGGCTCCCAAAAGGCAAACGGAACTGTCATTAGTGGATTGTAAATTATGAATTTCAGGCTGGGATTTTCCATTCATACTCAGAGTATGAAGCTTTCTGCCCCCTAAACAGTACAAAACAAAGTTATTTGTAAAAAGTGCAATACCCCAAATTTGTTTCCAGTCATCTTAATTTAATAACTTTACCATACTAGAGAAGGAAAAATCTGTGTGCTTGTATTAAAAAAGCAAAAAAAGAGTACATATTATTCTGATATAGATTCATGATGGATGGGATAGTGTGATAGAATGGTTTTATTAGCAAGTCCAGCTACTATTAAGGATGTAAATATCGGTTAAAAAAGTTAACTGGTTAAATGATTAAAATTATATCGTTTAATTAACCGTTAACCGAGGTAGCTCTGGCATAGCGAGGGCTGGGCCCGCTCCGGACGGCAGGCCTGGTGCGGCTGTGTCTCACCGGCTGGCCTGGTGCAGCTGAGTCCCACCGGCCGTCCTGGTGCGACCGGGGCTGGGGTCCCACTGGCGTGGCGTGGCTGAGGTCCCGCCGGCCAGCCCAGCACGGCCAGGGCTGAGGTCCCTCTGGCCAGCTGCAGCCGGGGCGTGGGTGCCTGCCGCCTGCGCGGGGCCGCCAGGGTTAACGGTTAGTTACCTGGTAAGCCTAATGCTTACTGGTTAACCTTTTACATCCCTAGTTTCTATCATTTGAATATTTAAGTAGGGTGAAATCAAGTACTTGACACCCATGTGTCAGGAATTTCACCTGCAAATAACTGTAGGCAAAAAACTGTACCCCAAATTATTTGTGCCCTTTTATCCCTCTCCCCCCACTCAATAACAAAACAAACCAAGTGCAGAAACAACGAGCAGATAATTTGTTCCATTGAATTTTTTAAAACTCTACAATTACCTAAAAAACCTTTTCTATATATCAGTGTCATAATTTTAAGGTCTAATATCTTGGAAGGGACTGAGCCTGAAACAAACACCTTTTATCTGTGGAAAGGGATAACAGCTTTCCTCAGGGATAACAAACCCATTTCCAGCCTTGAAGACTTATGAGATACTGGACATTAAACTTGTTGCTAACTCAGGCCTCCATCTTAGAGCAGTGTAATTGTGGGAAGAAATACATTTGGGGGAAAGGAGGAAATATTTCTCTGTGATATATATATATTTTGATGGACAAAAGGGGAATGGCAGCTGTGTGAAAACTGCACACATGTTTGGAATATAAGTAGTAGTTATGGAGGCAGATAGATTAGTGGGTAGTGTCAGCTAGGCGGTCACATGGTGCTGCAATTTCTCACAAGGATCTCATCACATCATATGTAGCATAAATGCTGACATGCACATATTCTATCCAAGTCCAGCGTAAGCTTTGCTTTTATAGACTAGGCTAGCCACAGAAACTGTTAGCTTCATTTGTAGTGCTGTACTTGGCAACTGGAGATCAAAGCAGCGCTGTGTTTAGAAAGAAGCATTGCATGTTCAAAATCTTTTACCAAAAAACCTAGTTTTACTGGACAGTAGTGAATTAAAGGCAAAGAGTTGGTTTAATTTTAATTATGGGCAGGCACACCTGACCAACAGCTAGGGTAGGCAAGACAAGGCTACAAGCCCTGAGCAAGAAGCCTAGAGTACCTCATATTCAGATTCCAATGATATCTTATTCTTTCTGATTCTTGCTTCCAAAGCTGGATCCATCTGTAAGACAAACAGAAAGACATCCAAAATGTTTATTTATAAAATATACCCAAATTTGAAAGAAAAAAAAACATTTCTCAATCTTCTTTTAAAAATAAACTAAATGCATTGCCCAGATACCAAGGTGATGGGTGCAATATATGAACCTGAATAGAACAAAGGTCAACAGATTCTAGCTCTTTCAGACTAGCAGGGGGGGAAAAAACTGCCCTCCCCTTCTCTGTTGTTCTCCGAGTACAATAAAGTAACCTTTGTGTTACTTAATTTTATATTACCTGAATTTTATTTTACTCTTCCCATAAGTTTTCAATGTACCACTGTTTATATTGCAATGCATAGAGGTGGGTTTTCACAGCTGGATGCTAAGAGTATTGGTACTCAGGAAGCAGTTGAAGTTTTGATACTGGAGCGGTAAATTCCTCATTTCCCACTCCAGCAACACTGTATTACTGTCCCATTGCCAACCCCCCGCATTCCAATATCGTCTCTTGTGTCAAACAAATGTGGAAATGATAATAATAATCAATACACATTAGACTGATGTTTTTGCTCAAATGAACAGCACAGGTCCATGGAAATGTCCTAAAATGGTTTGAGTTCTTTCAGAACTAACCCAGAGAGGTGTAATGGGCAACTATTCCTCTGCCCTGAAAGTGCTCTCTTGCCTTTCTATCCTTTCCCCAATATTATTCAAGATCTATATGAAGACACTGGGGGAGCTAATTACACACTGAAAAATGTCAGCAACATACAGATAATACCCCACTGTATGTCTCCTTCCCATCAGATATAAACAGGACCAACTCACTGCATTCCTAATGCTTAGCACAGATCAACACTTGAATGAAGAGCAGCTGGCTAAAACTGAACCCAGGCATGACAGAATTGGTACAGGTAGGAAGAGGCAGGTGCTCAGAGCACATGTCTCCTCCATAATATTCCCCTTGATCTAAGGCACCTGACTGCTGACTGTAAAGTCAATATATAGCCTTGGGATCCTCTTGCATATCTAAGTTCCTAAAGATGCTCAGACAGCTGTGGCTGTGAAAAATTATCATTACCATCTGTGAATGGCTAGAAGACTTAGGACACGTCTACACTACAGCTGCTACAGTGGCACAGCTACGGAACTGCAGCTCTGTCACAGTAGTGCTGTAATGTAGAAGCTTTCTACATCAACGGAAGGAGTTTTTCTGTGACACAATACATCCACCTCTCCAAGAGGCAGTAATGAGGTCAACAGAAGAATTCTTCCATCGACTTAGCTGCATCTACGCTGGGAATTAGGTCAACCTAACTACAGTGCTCAGAATTTTTCACAGCCCTGTGGGACGTAGCTAGATTGAGCTAATTTTTAAATGTACACCAGGCCTTAGTCCCCTTGCATGAGTCACAGATCTAGCTACTGTAATACACGTATTTGTGACTTCCAGACTCTACTGCAGCTCATTACATCTGGGAATTAAGCCAGACAGACTAAAAAAGCTAACCTGGTACAAAATGCAGAAGCCTGTCCGGTGAGCAAAACAGGCTTCTGTGAAAAGGCTCCGCTCTCTACACTGCGGGAGAGAGAACTCTCTCTGGAGCAAGAGGAAAAAACCTCTGGACCTCACGTCATTCAGAACTAAATGCAAACTTCTCCTTAGTGTCCTCACATAGTCCACACACACAAAGGGAAGGTGGAAATTAATTCTTATGCTTTTCAAGCTACTTCTCCAGATGGAGAAGGGAGCAGGGGCTAGGGGGCACTCAGATGTCATGGTGGTGAGTACCATAAAAGTACCTACGTAGTTAAATCTGTGTTTTTATTTCAATTACAACAGGCAAAATGTACCTATATGATTATTTTTGTTTTGACTGTTACCATAAACATCTCAATATCCCCTATTTATCGGATTTATTTTACTTATGTCTGGTGATTCTAGTTCACATGGCTACATTTGTGAAAACTCAGGGGAGCACTGCTGCTGCACCACTCCAGGCCCCCTCTGCTCTCAGCCCACTTCCTTGTGCATTAATTCCCCTCCACCTGAGGAAGGAGAGGGGAGCATCTAAGTCTAAGACACAGAAATCCTGCAAATTTGTAACTAGCTTGACTCAGTAACAGCAATGTTGCCCAAAATAAACCTGGTCAGCCAAAGAAGCCACCTGAACTTGCTCAAGCAGATGTGCGACAGGTTGCCCCCCTTAGGATGCCACCTGATGTGCTGAGATACCACCGAGCCTGTCTATTATGCCAGCCTGGGTACCCTTTTTACCTGTCTTGCTTGAGCCAAGCTATTCTACTAAGCCTCCTCCAGCGCACACACAGGCAGGGCCACACCAAACTGCAGGATGAAACAGACACAGAGATCAGTTCTGGGAAGGCTCAGCTTAAGGGACTTGCCCCAGCACTCAGGTGTCCACCTCCCTTGGGGTGCAGACCCAAAAATAGGTTATGAAATCTGCCTCCTCCCTCAATGCGGAGGAAGGTATGCACAGCCAAGAAATAAGTTTATTAACTACAAAAGGTGAATTTTAAGTGAATATAAGAGATAACAGACAGAACAAAGCAGATTACTGAGCAAATAAAATGAAATACGCACGCTAAGCTCAATATACTTAAGAAACAGGTTACAAAATGTAATTTCTCACCCTAGATATTGTCACAGGTAGATTACAGAAAGTCTTGAAAGGCAGCTGCACTGGCCTGCAGCTGGAGATTTCAGGTATATCCACTCTCAGACCAGACGCCCTCCCAGCCTGGGTTCACCCCTTCTCCCCTCAATTCAGTTCTTGCTTTCAGGTGTTTTTCACTGTCTCTTTGGGTGGGGAGGCAGAGGAGAACCACGATGATGTCACTCCCCTGCTTTATATAGCTCTTGTGTATGGCAGGAACCCTTTGTCTCCCAGTGGAAGAACAAGTGTTCAGATACAGAAATATCACAGGCATACGAATTGGATAATCACATTCAATAAATCATAACCTTTCCAATTATATCTTACATGAGCCATCTTGCATATCTCAGTTATGTCATATTCATATAATAAGAATATTTTCATAAATATGGAGTGAAACGTCACAAGATGTTATTCTGTTAACGCTCACTGGCAAGTACACAGAAAACACTTCTTCATTATAAATAAGAATTTCATTCAGTACCTTAATTACAAAGAGACTGGCTAGATCCTATTCTGAGCACACACTCTGTGTGTGGCTCCTGTGGAGCACACGATGACCCACTGAAGTTATAAAAGTTGTTCTGTAGGAAGATTCCCAGCAATGACAATAAAATAAATATTCCCTCTTACCTTTTCCATTTTTTGTTTCCCACACATTTACCCAATCCAGCAAAGTTGAATGATTCTAGACTTCAAGGATTCTGCCCTACTTTCTCAACTCCTGCTTTCAAGACCCCACATTTCAGCCACCAGGTCTAATCAGAAGAGTTAAGCAAGAATACATGTCTTCAGAACCAATGCATTGATCCTGATGGCTGACCGTGGAGAAAAAGTCTCTTACAAAGCGCCACTTCCCATGACTCCAAGTCTCAGTGAACCAGATCTGCAACATTATGGAAAGGAAGAAAGACAGAATGGGCATATCTTCCCTCTAATAAAGCATTCATTAGTACATGCTACAATTATGAACAGCATGTCAGCCATAATCAAGCACCATCAGAGAACATTTAGAGTATGGCTATGACCAGGAAAGTAACTATGTCAAAATGACAATGGCTACTCCTTACTCTATAGATCTCCTCCCTGTAAGCAGTCAGACCTCCCCATTTCACAGACACAAACATAGTTGTGTTTCCATTATCCTTGCCTAGCCAATACAGTACAGTGAGCTGGAATCTATTCTACTTCACACATCAGCAAAAGATGCATCAGCTGAATTTTGAGGGCAGAATCTTGATGCAGACAAAGTCCTGCTGAATTCTCAGATCCCAGTTGGAGTTTGCAGCACTGGCCTGGCAGCTTGAACATGTTCTTTGGTTTATAAAATGGACTCATTTGAAATGGAATCACTGAGAGAAACTAACAATCAAATCCAGGAGTCCATCCTTCCACACCTGGATGAGGAAGGGGGTGTGCACAAAGGTAGCTATGCAACATTTTTGCTTTCTTGACCTCAGAGGCTGCTGTGCATTACACCAGCTGACCAGAAGCCCCTAGGGGCCATTCTAGTGGCCAGAGATTGTCAAGGTGCAGAAAGAACAAGACTGTGTCCAATGCACCATGGGTTAGGAGGCACAGTGTTCCTATGCCACTGGAGAATTCCTTCAAATCCTCAGGGAGTCCTTTCAGATGGGTTTAAGGTAGAAAGCAGGCTTTGTATTTTACTTTTCTGGGAAATATTTTTTTAAATGCCTGTAGTGGGGCGGCTGCCCCACTCCTGGTGAATTTAGGCTGCAGCAGGCCAGTGGGCCTGCACAGACGGGCAGCCAATCAGGGCCAGGCTCAGCCCTATAAACGGCTGCTCAGGGAGAGAACAGGCAGTCTGTCCCAGGCCTTTGAGAGGGGAAGGTCTGTCTCCAGAGGTGGGAGACTAACACCGTGGACAGTGCAGTGCTGGCCAGGCTCGGGGAGCAAAAGGGAGCTCTAGCCCGTAGCCTGCCAGGCTGCAGGCCCTGAAGGGAAGGGCCTAGTGGGTGCAAGGGGCCATAGGGGAAGCGGCCCAGGGAAGCGGACAGACGAGGGGAGAGAAGGAGGACAGCAAGGCTGCCGCCAGAGGGTCCCTGGGCCGGGACCCAGAGTAGCAGGCGGGCCTGGGTCTCCCCCTTGCAGTACACCGAGCCATTGGCCGTAGGGAGCGGCCATCATAGACTACGCTAGATCCCTGACAAGAGGGATTAGACTTTGGGGTGTGTGGTTGGACATGGCGGCTGGGGCGTAGAGAGACTGCTGATCAACCCCCCCCCGGAAGGGGATGTGGATGGACTGAGAGGCACTGCCGGAGGGCAGTGGTCTGGAAAAGGATGCCGCGAGCTGGTGAGCAACGCGGGTCCACACGCCAA